ATATTTCAAACCCAATTTGTAAATAAATTAGTGACCAAAATTTATAAAAGTGAGTGTTTACATAATGCGTGGACCCTTGACTACAATTGTGTGGAATTTTTTTTGGATCGGGCGACCCCTTTGGACGGAATATCCCGAAACAGTTGTGAGCGCTTCTAAACCCCACCCATTTTAAATTTTTGTATGGTTATTCCACCTATTATTTACCTTCTCATACGTCGCCAGTATATTATTTTTCACCTCTCCAATTAAAGCGCTCATTGGCACCCTGGGCCATTGCGAATCATTCAAAGTTGTTTTATATCCAGCACATCTTAAAGTGAGTTTTGCCATATACTTCCATGTTTCCACCTTAATCTTGATATCTATAAAGGAACCTCCTGTGGTATTTGCACACAATGCAATAACAACTATGAAATAATATATGATTATTTCTAAAGTTTAAGCAATTCTACTAGATGAATATTGGTTCTTTTCTCACAAGGGATAAAAGCACAGTAATCCATTGAACTGATTTCTTCTCGGCTCTCCAAGCAGTACCACATCAATTTCAGCGAAGAAATATGTACAGAACTAATTATTTCTATTAGTGGCTTCCAATCTATATTTGAGAAACTGTAATGAATACATTTAAATTAGGCAATGTCGTATCATCACATAAATACTAACTTGTTTTTTAAAATAGTGCAACATCTTCGGGATGTGTCCAATACAAACTTCAGAAAACAACATATCCCAATGAAATGCAAACTTTTCTCATCTTTTTGGACTCGCTCTAAAAAAGTATTCGAAGCTTTCAGCCAGGAAGTCAACTTACTTAGTGCCCCATCAATTTCATGCTCGGTGTTTACCTCCACAAAATTGGACTAAAATATAACAATTACCTATTCGAAATATACAAAGATTTTTTTAACACCCACAATATTTTCAAAATTCTTTTGGCAGCAGAGTGTTAACCGCCTCCAATCTTCTTCGCAGAAGTTTTCGAAACTGTAAACAATCCTTAATTTGCTTATCCACAAACTAAGTATTTCACCGGCAGTCACCTGCCCGTGTTCCACTGCGTAAGCACATATACCGAACACTCGTTCCTTCGAAATTTTCTTTGATATAAATGCAGTATCAGTATTTGTGAGCCATGCTAAATTTATAATTGTATTTTCGACGTTTTCCATCATTAAATCGGAAGCTTAAATTAAATTCACAAATAGCGGGCTAAACAATAGAGATTCCTCAAAACAATTGAAAATTAAATGATATCGATACCAAATACTTCTTGTTACCGACCTTAAAAAAGGAGGAGGTTATCAGTTCGTCTGAGTAGCGGGGTTCCCACCAAACTAAATAATCGGTAACTTTAAATTCGGTAATTTTTCTAAATATGTGTTTAAATATAAATATAATCTCAAGGTCCCCCGATTTTAGAGTTACCATTGGAACCGTTTTAAAGCTGGAGACCCAACCTCTTCAAAAATACCCACCTCTTGGGGCGGAAGTCTTTTTATTTTTTAAATACTTAGGCTATCTGCACACTTGTCGTCTAATCATAGTTGCGTTATCGTCTCGCCCTGAACTTTTGGGCCGAGCACATGCATTTCAAAGGAGATCCGCACACTTGTCGTTATCGGCAAATCGTAGAAGATGCAGAAACGGATAAATACGGCCTGTTTGCTAATCGTTGTGTACGCATCGTTTGTTTAGATTTTATGGGGAAAAATTAGTGAAAAAGTTAATATTTGCATTAAAATTGCATACAAAATAGTGTCTTTGGCATAAAATCTGTCGAAATTATTCGAAAGTGGATAATTGCAATAAAATTCAATAAATGTGGGCGTTTTAACTATAAAACGTGACGCAATTATAAAAAGGCTCTGTGTGCATGCACAAAACACATTTCGGGAGAAGAAAAGAAGAGATATTACTGAAAAATTATGTCTAGAATTGTTGCAGCAAAGTCCATATTTTAAAAATTGCAGGTTTTGTAAATATTTCGCAAAAATATCAACCAGAAAAACAGAAAATATTTTCTCCAAATCAATTTTTAGACGCCAAATGAATTGAAATATCACGACCGAGTGTGCGAAAGTAACTAAGGCTTTCTGCACATTGGTCGTCCAATCATAGTTACTTCATCGTTGCAATAATGATGCAACGATTACATGACGACGACGGTTTGGCACACTCGGTCGTGATATTTCAATTCATTTGGCGTCTAACAATTCACTTGGGGCAGGTATTTTCTGTTTTTCTGGTTGATATTTTTACGAAATATTTACAAAAACCTGCAATTTTTAAAATATAGACTGCGCTGCACCAATTCTAGGCATCATTTTTCAGTAATATGTCTTCTTTTCCTGAAATGTGTTTTGTGCATGCACACATAGACTTTTTACAATTTCGTCATATTTTATAGTTAACACGCTCACATTTATTGAATTTTAATGCAATTATCCACTTTTTAATAATTTCCACACATTTTATGCAGGAAATACTAATTTGTATACAACTTTAGTGCAAATATTAACTTCATCACTAATTTTTCCCCACAAAATGTAAAGAAACAATACGTGCACAACGATAAGCAAACGACAGGGCCGTAGTTATCCGTTTGTTCATCTTCTACGATTTGCCGATATCTAGCCGATGACAAGTGTGCAGATCTCCTTTGAAATTCATGTGCTCGGCTCAAAATTCAGGGCGAGACGATAACGCAACTATTACCATGTTATTACCGACATCGAAAACATGTTTTCGTTGCTAAAACTGGTTTTCGACCTAAAATTTGAGTTTTCGTCCATGTAAAATCTGTCAAACGAAAACAAGTTTTCGCTGAAAACCACTTGAAAACTCACGTTCCACTCATTCCAATCGGTGTCTGTACTAGTTTTTTTTTCGATTATTTATCGAAGTGGAAGTCATATTTTATCATCTTTAATACGCCATTTCGGATTTATTGTTAATTGGCTGACCAAAATAAAATAAGCATGGAAGTAAAAGTTTGTTAATTAAAAGAAATTGAAGGAAAAGTATTTTGGTTTTGTATTTGTGCAGCAAAACTGTAAACTAAGGATGTAAGAAATGTCAACGAAAATACCAACAGTCGGTGTGAACAGCCTTCAACCCACAATCCCAAAACTCGTTTTCAAAGTGTTTTCGTTGCCGGTGAGAACATTGTATATGAGTGGACGACAAGTGTGCAGATAGCCTTAGTATTCAAATTGTTTTACTTGCATTTTATGATTTAAATTTATTTCGCATTCGCATTTGTACTACAGAAGGTGGAGGTTGTATTTGTCTAAGTATTTCTTGTGCCTATTGTGAGTGTGAAGTGTGTGTCAATTGTTAAGTGTAAAAGTTGGATGTTCTATTGTAAAGACTAGGTATTAAACCCCTAAAAAAAAAAACCAAAAAACTAAAAAAAAAAAAAAAAAAAAAAAGAAACTTGTGCTAGTGCTTGATCCAGACGTTCTTACTAAGGTGAGTGCTACAGTTCTTTGTGATTGGCGGCAGCCAAAATGGACAGCGACGCCTCGGCGTCAGAGAAGGGGGAGCCAAACCAGGAGCTGGACACCAATCCAGCGTCAGACTGGTTTGAGGTAGGTAGAAACAGAAAACAAGCTGCAAGGAAAAGACAGATGAATAAAACTACAAAGGGGGGTCTTCCAATAGCTGAGTCAGAAACAGACGACGACTGTACCAAACGGACGGACACAGCAAGTACTACCAAAAAATCTAAGACAGACCAAGCTAACGGCACTTGCATCCCGTTACAAGGAATGTTAGTGAAGAGAGGAACATACGCAAAAACGACGACAAAAAACTTAACGGGCACTGCGGACATGAACAGCGAAAACAAGGAGAAAGAAACTTACAAACACTCTGACTGCGAACAAACACGTGCGACAGAAAGCAAAGGTGCGAACAACAGGGAAAAAGAAAAAGAACACATGGACAGTGTGTGCTATACAAAAAGGCACAGGGGAGATTATTGCGTTCTGGTGGACACCTCAAAATCCAACACGATAAACAACGAAAAAATGCGCAATGGCCTATTCCTTTGGGATATTATAAGACATTTTAATATTGAGGGGATTAAAAACATAAAAGCCATAGGTAGATCACTCTACAAAATTTTTTTTGAAAATTTTGAAGCTGCAAACAAGTGCGTTAGCAATCCCGACTTAATTAAAAATCAAATGAGACCCTTTATACCAAGAAGCTTGGTAGAAACAACTGGTGTTGCTAGACAAATACCTCTTAACTTCACTGAGGAAGAAATAAAAGAAAATATCATTTCAGATATTCCTGTTACAGCTATCTCAAGAATTACCAGAAGAGATCCCAATGACAAAGAGAAGTTCATTCCAACTCTCTCTGTGAAAATAAGTTTTGAAGGCAACGAACTACCAGAAACCATAGACATTTTTTGCGTAAAAATCAAAATGGTTCACTACATTCCTAGAGTTAGGCATTGTTACAACTGCGGCAGACTAGGGCACACAAAAATGGCCTGCAGAGCAGCCAACAGATGCATTATCTGTGGCAAGGCAGAGGGCTGTAGTAGTAAATGCAATGAAACCACAAATTCGTGCATACTATGCGGAGGGGATAATCACAATTCACTCGAGAGCAGGAAATGTTCTAAATGGGCCAGAGAAAAACAGGTGGTCGAAATTATGACAATAAAAAAAGTATCTAAGTCTGAGGCGATTGGGATGTACAATTTAAACAATAATAACCGTTTCTCAGCTCTAGAAAACTATGAGGGAAATTTTCCACAGTTAGAAGCAAAAAGTACAGCAAGGATCAACAATGATGAAACAGTAAATAGAAAACTCACTACATATAAATACAATTATGTAGTTAGAAATCATCAAACCCACACAACAGCTACACCTAACCATTCCAAAATCTTGCCGAAAGCTACAACCAAAACACAACCCGTCTATGAAATGCCGAATTGGTCTAAGGTCACAGAGATTGAAAAGCTTGTAAATCTCCTTATACAAAGGTACGACATTGACGTTAATGACCCCTTGGTTAACCTAATTCGCAATATAGGCGCAGTACACATTGAAGACAAAACTCCAAGTAACAAAGATGACAAGTCCAATAAAAATATTACAATATAACGTACAAAGCCTTAAAAGTAATAAAAACTATGTAGACTTCTTTAACACTAGTAATAACATTGATATAGTCTGCCTTCAGGAAATTTTTTCGCATGACAACCATACAACTCAACACAATTTAATGAACTTCAACTTACTCAGAAAGACTAGAATCGATGGATATGGTGGCGTAGGAATCGGATTTAAAAAAGGTATAAAATTTACGAAAATCAAATTTGTTTCAAATTACGACATTCTAATAGCCAAGACGATTAATCTTATTAATAATTTAACTATTTGCAATATTTATTTTCCTCCCAACCTTGACAGTTTAAATTTTACTAACGAACTGAACCGTGTAGTACTTTTTCTTAACAATCATGAAAACGTTATTATAGCAGGAGACCTCAACGCTAGGCATCAAGTGTGGGGAGACAGAATATGCAACACCAAAGGAAAAATAGTTGTTGACGAAATCAGGAACACCAATCTCCAGTGCATCAACAGTGGAGCAATCACTCACCGCACCGGTAACAGTGCAGGAACGGCAATTGACATAACTCTGACCAACATTAACAGCAGTTACACAAAATGGCACTGTCAACAAGTCCATTTGGGAGGCAGTAAGCATTTCCCCATCATCGTTGAGGTCACTAATAGCAGCAAAAAGCCCAACTATTTCATCCCCAAGGAACGACTCGCCCAGGAACTTGCTCAGTTAAAATTCTCTGACTTAGAAAATATCACGACAGAAATAGACAGCGTTAGGAACAGGATTAAAATTGACTTGAACACATCCAGGCGTACCCCTAAAAACTGGTGGAGTGATGACCTCAAAAAACTGTACAGATTACATGTCGCTAAACGCAAAAAAGCTAATCATACTAACAATGTTGAAGACATGGAAGGGCCAATTATAGCAACTAGTGACTGGAAAGAAGCGGTGTAGGCGGCAAAGAAAGCGAGCTACAACAGTAAAATTTAGGAGATAAACACTTGCCCCAACTCGACACAGACGTGGAAATTCATAAGAAATGTCAAAGGCAATAAGCGCGCGTCTCACAATTGGGCAGCTGAAGATGACCGAAACTACTTAGAACTGATAAGGAATCAAGCTCAACAAGCCAGCAACCCTTGTAATGTCATCACTCCAACCACCGCTGCATCAGTAAATGCCAACAACAGCGTTGACTTTTCATACAGCAGATTCGAAAATTTATTAGCAAGAAAAAAATCTACTGCTGGGGGTTTCGACAGAATTACGTTTAATACATTAAAGCAATTGTCCACTGAGTCCAAACAGTCGTTATTAGACGCCCTAAAAGAACATTTCTACAGCAACAGGGTCCTAGACGCATGGAGACAAATAAAGGTAATTCCAATACCGAAAGCAAACAAAAACACTGAGGACATAAATAACTTTAGACCCATTTCACTCATATCTGTCGTAGTAAAGAGCATTAATATGATGGTGAAAGAATCGCTGAACGAGTTCCTGGAGACAAGCAATAGACTTCCCAAGAAGAGCTACGTCTATCGAAAAATGAGATCAGCAACAATGTGCATTAACGAAATGCTACACCTTATAGCAGAAAGAAAGAAATGTAGGGAATATGCTATGATTTGTTTCTTAGATATGTCGGACGCCTATAATAGAGTAGATCTTGTTACACTTCATAATATTCTTCTACAATGCAACATTGACCCAACAATTGCAAACTGGATTAACAACTACTTTTCTAAAAGACATCTGACCCTAGGTAATCACACTGTTGAGGTAAACTCTGGCCTACCTCAAGGTAGCTGCCTTTCCCCAACGCTATTCAATATTTATACAGCCCAACTGCACGAAATTAATAACTCTCAGACTCAACTATTTCAGTTTGCCGACGATCTTGCGTTAATATCCACTGGCACAAACAGATTCTCTGCAGCTCAAAATTTACAAAACAAAATAGAAGAATTACAGGCAAAATGCGACAGCTTAAATCTCAAATTTAATCTGAACAAAACAAAATTCATGTATATGTCTGCAAACAATAAACAAACCTTTAGTGTATCCATCAACGGCCTAAACATTGAACAAGTCCATCACTTCAAATGGCTGGGAAGAACAATTAGCGCGAACTCAACCATTAAGGTACACATTAGTGAAATTAAAAAAGCAACAACTTCAGGTAAAAACCTTATTTCTAAATTAACATCTACCAAGTCAGGTATTTCACCTAAAACTTCTATAAATCTTTTTAAAGCGTTTGTACGATCCAAAGCAGAATATGCCAACACCAGTTACGCCAATGCCCCTAAAGGGTATAACAAGCAGCTACAAACCAATGTAAATGAAACGTTGAGGAGATGCCTCGGAGTTCCTCCAAACACTCCAACACTCATGAGATACGCGCTGGCTTGTGAACTTCCACCTCTTCCCAGAGCTGTATGGCTTACGGCCAAGGAACTTGTCAAACAGTGGTTGATCAATCCTGAACTTAGAATACAGATCCAGAACAGACCTCCCATAAATTCCAGCTACAGCATAACGTACGAAAAATTTAAAGCAATTATCAACACCATAGATACAAATGTAGCTTTCAAAAGACACCATAACCTCACCTGCTACGAATCTGAATTGGCCCAGTCCAAAAAGAACGTTACCCCTACACAACTCAGAGCTATCTACAACCAAAAAATTAACACGCTAAAAGAGGAAGGTTTCAAAGTGTATGCCACTGATGCATCGGTGTCAGATAACAAAATTGGCTGTGCAGTCTATGTGGTAACGGCTAACGTCTCATACCTGTTCAATATAGATGGAAACTTCACATCAACTTACGGTGAGCTAGTAGCACTTTCTCAAGCAATCACGATAGCCATTAATAATGATAGTAAAAAAGTAGCAATCTTTACAGACAGTCAGAGTGCAATTAAGGCCCTAAAAAGCCGCACCACACACAATTTCCTAGTAGCTGAAATCCATAACAAACTTTATCACTCCCAAATAGAAAACATTGCAATAGTCTGGACACCTAGCCATGTGGGTATAACCATAAATGAAAAAGCGGATATAGCAGCAAAAACAGCAGTTGACCATGGTAAATCTTTACCCCCAAAACTCACACCTTGTGAAGCACTGAGAAGGATTAGCAAAATGTTGTGGACTGAAGCCAAACAAGAATTTACCAACAAACTTCCAAACTGGGACCCGGACATAGTAGAATTTTGCACGCCCAAAGAAAAACAGCCATGGTTTAAAAACAAAAATGTAGACTTAGAAGCATACGACATAAAACTTTTTAACAGAATAGCTACTGGACACACGTACGGTAGCACTTATTTAACCAAATTTCAGCATTACAGATCAGACAATTGCAGCGCATGCAACATAAAAGAAACTCCTGAACACCTCATATTTGATTGTATCAAATATAACAACTTACGTAATGATAATTCTCTTTTCCGAAACTACCAAAATTTCAAACAGATTCTTCTTTCAAAACTGCCTGCCACATACAAACAACTGGCCGACTTTCTACATAGAAGTGGGCTGGATAAAGCACTATAAAAAAAAACAAAAACAAACAAGGTATTGAATGAAAAAAAAAAAAAACAACATAAGAATTTTAGAAAAAATAAAAAAATTTAACTTAGAAAGTATTAAAATATACAAAACTATTGTATGTTTTATACAAATGAGATAAAATATACTCAACTGATTAGTTTCACTACTAGTTATATATCAACTTATAACATTCGTTTAAACAAATGTACTCAATCTGTCATTCTATGTTTGTGTTTTCAGTCTTGGTGTATTGTCTTATGTAGTCTTGTGTTGTTCTTAAATGTCATAAAATAAGAATGAGGAAAGCAGCTGTTACGCTAACATCAGCCAGAAAGAAGCAACATCAAGGAGTCGTATAATAAAACACTCTTCAACGCGGAATTTCAACAAAACACGTCGATACAAGATAAATGGAAGCAACATTGTCCAGCAGTTTAGCCGAAAGATTACAACTAACCAAACAATCGTTCGCAGATAGACTGGTGTTATGCTAAAGGAAGCTGTAATCCACAGCGTTTGGGACAAATAGCATTTCGACTTAGAAAAGAAACACTAACGTATTCAAATGGTATAAGACAACGATAACCACTGAATACATCACGTTTTAATAACCGGCTATTTAAGGTGTATAAACCTAGCCATAAATGGAACGTTCGATTTGTTCCTAAAGCCCCAAAAAAAAAAAAAAAAAAAATTTATTTCAGGAACGGGTCCCCGTGGTTGCCAGCCATAGATTTTTGGCTATAAGTTAAGAATCCGAACATTGCAAAAACTAAAAAAAAAAAAATTGGTAACAGCGTTGATAGAGGTTTTTGAGACAAATACAACAGTATACTTTTTTTGGGGCAGAAACAACGAAACAACAACTAAGGCAGTTATTAAAGGTCAAAACTCAAATGTAGCGCTTTTTCAAATCGATATATCTCGAAAACCGTCGCACGGATTCGCTTCACTTTTCATTTGTTTACAATTTGTAGAAAATGGATTTTGATTTGAGTTGGGAAGATGATAGTGATTCGGAATACGAAGAGGCACACCAGCAAATCAATTTCATTTGAACCGAAATTAATTCTACTCTTATTTTCTGACATTATTATTAATATCCAAATTTTGCTTGCTTTGTAAGTAAACACACTCAGCTCACCCACGGAAATAAACAACAAGTAATTAAATATTTTATAACATGCACTAGCAAAGTGACCTTTTCATTTGTTTACAATTTGGTTGTCAAGCACACTACAGCTGTCCGTTTGAAAAATGGTAAGTTCGAACTCATACGGGATCACAACTAATATTTAATACTTCCGAATACTTCCATTTACTGTCTTTGTTGCTACTCCATCATTTAAATATACTTTTTAAAAACTCTCAATTTTTCACAATTATTTTATTTCGATCTTCACAGTATTTATTTGCACTGTTGGAAAATAAAAGTAGAACTTAAGACGCCAATATTCTCGACTTAAGGTGAACTTAAGTTGCACTTAAGTTTTTGTTGAAAAAGTGGTTGATGAAATGCAAAATCTAAGGCTATCTGCTCACTTGTCGTCCAATCATAGTCTCGCCCTGAAATTTGGGCTGAGCACATACATTTCAAAGGAGACCTGCATGAACCAAAAATACAAGATCACGCCTTCTTCTTAGTAGCCCGTTATAATCGCATTTAGGAAAAAGTTGGGCGACTTTAACATTAGCCGTTTGTTTACATTTGTTCGTTGTTTACAATTTGGTGGTGGCTTTTTACTGCAATTTTCTTAATTTCCGCTTGTGACAACGTGTGTACACGTAAGGTAAGGAATAATTTAACGACATGATTTATAGAAGAATTTGCATAATAAAAATGATTATTCATGCGTTCAACAGTTACGCGGGAGACCTGCACACTTGTCGTTACCGGCTAGTTATCGGCAAATCGTAGAAGATGCAGAAACGGATAAGTACGGCACTGTCGTTTGCTAATCGTTGTGCACGCATTGTTTGTTTACATTTTATGGGGAAAAATTTGTGAAAAAGTTAATATTTGCTTTAAAATTGCATAAAAATTAGTGTCTTTGGCATAAAATCTGTCAAAATTATTAAAAAGTGGATAATTGCAATAAAATTCAATAAAGGTGAGCGTTTTAACTATGAAACATGACGAAATTGTAAAAAGTCTCTGTGTGCATGCACAAAATACATTTAAGGAAAAGAAAAGAAGACATATTACTGAAAACTTATGTCTAGAATTGTTGCAGCACAGTCCATATTTTAAAAATTGCAGGTTTTTGTAAATATTTCGCGAAAATATCAACCAGAAATACCTGCTCCAAGTAAATTTTTAGACGCCAAATGAATTGAAATATCACGACTGAGTGTGTGAAAATGTAATCGTCATGTAATCGCGGCATCATGATTGTGACGA